TTGGGGTATATTCCCAGTAGTGGAATTGCTGGGTCAAATGTTATCTCTATTTACAACTTTTTGAGAAAGCACCATAGTGCTTCCACAGTGGTTGCACCATTTTATACTCCCATCAACAGTGAATATGGGATCCAGTTTCTCCACATCCTCGCCAGCATTTGTTGCTTGCTGTTCTGTTAAATCTTGCTATTCTGACTGGGTTGAGATGATATGTCATAGTTGTTTTGATGTGCTTGTTCGCCATCTGAATGTCTTCTTCTGTGAAGTGTCTGTTCATATCCTGTGCCCATTTTTCTATTGGATTATTTACCTTTATCTTGTTGTGTTGCTCCAGTATTTTATAAATTCTGGATATAAGTCCCTTATCTTATATGTCATTACCAAGTACTTTTTCCCAGTGTGTGGCTTCCCTTTTTACCCTGTTGGGGAAGTTTTTGGATGTGCATAGGGATTTGATTCTTAGAAGATCCCATTCATCTACTTTATCTTCTCCTAGTTGTAGGTTTTTCAGGATGCTTGGAAGACTGTTTATGTTGTGGATTAGGACATCTAGCGTTCTTCCAAGCTTTTCTGTAATGATAATTATAGTTCTTGGTTTTAGTCCTAGGTCCATTATCCACCTTGAGTTGGTTTTTGTATATGGAGTGAGGTGTGGATCTTGCTTGAGTCTTTTGCAGATACTTTTCCAGTTTTGCCAACACCATTTGTTAAAAAGGCTGCCGTTTGCCCACTTAACTGATTTCATCTCCTTGTCAAAAATCAGCTGACCATGGATAGATGGACGGATTTCTGGGTTCTCAATTCTATTCCATTGATCTTGTGTCTGTCATTGTACCAGTACCATGCTGTCTTAACCACCACAGCAGTGTAGTAGGATTTGAAATCAGGGAGTGAGAAGCCTCTTACCTTTCTTCTATTTTTAAGGAGCACTTTGCTTACTAGAGGCTTCTTTCCATTCCATATGAAACTGGAGATTGCCTTTTCCATCTCATTGATGAATAGGATTGGTATT